TAACCCAGGCCTGGCTAGGCTCTGTGCGTACACAGGAGAAAGGCAGAGACAGGGAGACTGGCAGAAGGTAGATGTGATCCATCCTATCACTCCACATCCGCACTCATCCCTGGTTACTACTGGTGGCCCTGCTACCCCTGGAGCTTGTTAGCTGGTGCCAAATCTCTTCTTCCCCTTTGTCTAGGCAGCATCCAAACATCCCCAGAAATGCTGTGGTCTCAAACCATGTGGGTGCACCTAGCTGCATCCCCTGTGAACAGAATACCCAAATCTTTTCCTTTGTCATCACCTGGAGAGCTCCTGCATCTTCTCCCTCCACCTTCCCTGTGTATCCCGCTGCCTTCTATCATAACCATCATTATCTAATGAGCCCTAGTTGCTGTGCAACAGCAATATACCTAAGCCTTCTGCCCTCCTGTAGGTTATACAACTGAATACTTGGTTTATTTGCTTCATTACACCAACATACCATGATGGCAATTTTTTTTTTCTCCTTGCCTTACAGGGTACCTTGCTGTGTGCGGCTTATGGACCCTATGCGTACACTTCTGGTGATCTGTATTAAAAACAAGTGGCTTAGGTGAAAAGAAAGGTTGCCAAAGAGGATCTGTCTTATAAAAGAGACAGAAGGAGGTTGTGCAGGTGTTGCTTTATATGTTGATACTATAAATACATTCAGGGATGTAGGATAAATATCAGGAAGTAAGAACTATTTGTTAGAAAGATATTAGCACAAGATCAGATGGATATAAATCAAATGTGAACTTATTTAGATTGAAAACTAGTAAAAAGTTTCCAAATCATCTATGGAACACAAAACATCTGGATATGCCACAGAGCCACAAAGGGCCTTCTGGGTCTTTGGCAGCAGTGGGCTCTACTCCGCCTTAAAACTGATTAGTTTTTCATTTGTTCCTTTGTTTTAAAATTAGTTTCCTGCTCCTCTCCCATCCATGTCCATACTGCATACCTGGGGGAGTGCTTTTCCCTCTCCTCCCCATTGATTTTCCCTTGCCCAGAGCAGGTGGGCACCCAAGGACACAGGCCAGCATGCCACCCCACCCCATCACTGCCTGACCTCCTCCTCAAGCTTCTCCCTAGCTGAAGCCATTTGCTCTCACACGCTTCGCTTGGGGTTGTGTCTTGCAAAAAGCACAGCGCCTTGGCAGGTGACGGGGGTGAGCGCAGACAAGGCACCAAGCATTTGCTTAAGCTGGGTAGGTTCCCTGTTTAAATAAATCTAAATTCCTAGGATCTAGAGAGGAAGGCTGACCCAGCAGTGGCCGGTGTGCCGCTGGCAGCCTTGCCAATGGAGGGGCCGGCTGCCTGCTTGCCCATCGCCCCCCGAGCTGAGGCATGCGGATCCCTCATGCAGGGGAGGAGCGCGTGAATCACAGCTCTCAGCAGCTCGGCGAGGGGGAAGGAGCCTGGTCCCCCAGCACCGTGGTAGAAATGTCTAATTAGATGCAACAGAGGGATAGATATGCATACTCAGGGAATTTTCTACACAAGCATAAATTAAGGAAAACCAAATATTTATTTTAAATAGCTGTGCCATATGTTGATGAAATGTTAATCTCCACAGAAAAAAACACACTGTAAATAAACTCTCCAGAAGCACCTCACATTCACAGAGCTTCATCTTTCTGAGCAAACTAACAAGAAGAAAAAATCAACAGCATCCATTATAGTCTCCCTTCCATGAGAAATTCAGGCAAGTTTAGGATGACATGGGCCAGTGCTTTTCAAACTATCATCTGCAGCCCCCAGGAGCACCACAGGCTATTTGTTAAGGTCCTACAGAAGGTATTTAAGAAAAACAAACTTGCTGTCTTTAATTCACAATACAGGGATCTTTGGCATTGGTAGAAAAAATGCTAGGGGGCTGCAAATCAAAAGCAACTGAAAAATAATTATTTATGCTTTAGAGTCAGGAACTGAGAGTCAGAGGGACAGTTTTGTCTCCTCCACTGATCCCAGGACCTTGGTTGAGTGACTTCAGTTCCACTTTTCTCTTCATCTTTCTACCACCTCAACTACCCATAAGGATTTTCAGCATCTCTTCTTGTGCACCTGAACAGTATCCAGCAAAACAAAGCCCCAGGACCCTACAGAAACACATCACTATTAACATTCCCTTATTCTTCTAGCCCTCCAAAAAGAGTCTGGCCCCAGCACATCCCAAAGTTTGAAGACATTTCAAGATGGGAAGCAATCTATTAGGAAGTCAAATCTGATTACCTAAAAGGCAGTTTTTAGTGGCTGTAACAAACTGGCCCTGGAGATTGGCATGTTTTTAAGCAGCAAGACTAGCGACAAAACCTGTCGGCAGTGCCTGCAGTTGGCTTCCTTTGTTCACCAAGCCACTTCCACTCTCTTACATACGGCTTCCTCACTGACAAAGATGCAAAGACCACCTTTTTTATCAACATGCATATTGCAGTGTTGTCAGCAGCTCCTTAAGGTTAGTCCCTTTTTCTTCTTGGTTATATTTATAAACCCTGTGCAGAGTTGCTATGGTTTCTGTTACCGCCAGTCCAATCGGTATTCAGTGCAGTTCCTCTCACCTTCACCATTTGGGTGACCTTTACTTCACAAGGAAGATCTCATGCCATCAGCCTGTTCAATTAGATGTCACACAACATGCTGTGCTAGAACACCAACCGCCAAGCAAGAGAGGGCTCTGTGGAACCAATTCATCTGCAAAGGCTGTCTGAGATGGATAAACAATGGTAATTATTTCAAAACAAATTGGAACCAGAAAGCGCAACCCAGCAGTGTTAACTGCTAGACAAAAAGGAAAGCCACAAAAAGAAGAAATTTCAGCTCTCAATGTCCTGGGTACTCCGGTATCTTCCTCTAGGCAAATATTTTTCTACCTTTCTTGCTTTCCAAAGTCAAGTTCTAAAACCTATTACTTCCAAGACAGTTTCTTTTACACCAGTTGAATAACTTATGCAAGGGACTTCTCACAAATGGGAGCAATACAGTTATAAACTAACAGTAAGAATTCTCTCTTTGCCAAACTAATATTCTATTTAAGCCACTTTACACAAAGCTACATTGCTTACTGGACAGCCAGATAGCCAGGTGGTAAGCATGCTGGGAATGGGTTCAGCAGCTTCATGTACCGACCAGATCACAAGATCCCCAAAAACCCTAACCCAGGCACCAAACAAAAAAACCCCAAGGCTTCCCCCTAACTCCAGGAAAAATGCTCCTGCTACAACAAAGAAGTCACAAATACACAAAAGCCAGAAAACAGAGCATGGACATGGTATGACCCTAACTCTGCCCATGCAGTGGGAATGGGAACATCCCCATAATTTGCCTCTTCAAAACAAAGCCAGAACTTTCCTTGTGGCACCTCCCTGGTTGTTAAGTGTTCTTGCATTGGGCAACCAGGCTAGCCAAGACATCTCATCCCATATGCTTTTAATGCTAGTCGTTGCTTTCTAAAGAAGAGTAAAAATGCCGGCATCTTTCTAAGACACCTAGGTGCAGATGCATAGGAGCACGGCGCTTTAGCTGATCAAAAGACAGCTCTGTATGGCACAAAAGGAGCTCCGCTGTTACAAGTACTGAACAACCGTGTATGCAGTAAGTGGGTCAGAAGCACAGATCACAGCCAGCATAGAAAACCAGGCTGGCTTAGAAAGCAGAGAGGGTCAAATACCCCTGTGCTGTGGGAGGTGGGAACATCACTTGCTGGTGCAGCTCTGTTACCTCAGGTTTGTTTGGAAGTCGAGCCCTGAAACACGGGTGACTGACGCATCCACAGCCATGGCCAAGCTTTTGCACGGCACTCTCGTGAAACAAGGTGAGCAGGGAAAAAGATCGTGTGCCACATTCTCTGAACTGAAGCATCTCTCTGCCCTTGCTATCACCAACACGTGTGGCTTTACACAGTCTGTTGCATTCCATCAGAGCGCTACTGAGACTACTGCTGCCCGTCTGGCCTGCCGCCTGCACCCACAGCGCTGTTCAGTGGGTGCCTCACACAGAGTGTGCCTAGGCTGCTGCTGGGTGCACACACCCACCTTACACCAGCGAGTTGCTCTGGCTCTCCCAGGCTCCCTGCTTGCTCCCTGGCAGCACAGTGTCACCTGCACATTCATCACATACTTATCTGCCACTACAGACCTGAAAAAAATCTCAGTCCCCAATTTGATTCAGGGTGGCTTATTCCAAAAACAGACAGAGAATTTTTCACTATTTCCTCTGCGGCTTCCACCTCCTTGAGCCTGCATTGCACAGCTAAATCTTTCTCGCTTGATGGAGGACTTCTTTACAGCACACCAAGTGCTTTCATCTTCACCATGATCAGAACAAGTCAGTGCACCTTTGCTATTTGAGTCTCTTTTAAACTGGGGTGAGCTGAACTTTCTATGCAAAGACACGACCTCTCCTGAAATCCCTTGATCAGCAATTTCCCTTCCTCGCTCTTTCATGTTTGAGGCATTATGAAACACTGGAAACTACACATTCTTTCATAAGGAAGTTAGTGAGAAAATTCAAATAATCAACTCAGTCCCAGGAGACTTGGGGTCTCTTTCCAAGTTTGAAAGCTCTTTCCTAACAGAAGGTTTGCTCTTCTGGTTAGCAGGCAGCTGATGATATAGCTTCTCTGGAGCCCGATTATACTTCCAGCCCAGGGGCAAGTAATAAAAAAGCCTGCCCAGCTCTGTGAGGTCTGAATCAGGTGCTAACACTGAACATCTGCTGGGGCCTCTGCTGTCCTCTCCCCCACCCTCCTTCCATGTGCTGGGCATTGGAGTGTTCTCCATTTTATAGCTTGTGGCAATGAAAAGCCAATTTAAGAGGGAAAGCATTGCTGACAGCGTTATCCAAAAAAAACAGACTCTGCTTTAACAGCTCTCCATCCAGGATTTTGGTGAGTCCAACACCACCGTGACATGCTGAAAAGATCTGCATTGTACGGCAGCCTTTGGAAACAGTTACCAGCAAAGCAGTCACAGACCAACCCGGGCGAGACAACAGACTCTACACGTACGTTTATTACTTCATACAACCAGACTGCTTATTGTACAAAAATTAACAGTGCCACCCAAGAGGGCTGTCACAGATGTTTAGAAAGAGACACGTAAACACAGCTTTAAAACATGGGTTTTCTGTAATTTAGGTACAAACTACCAAAGCACCATCCATTGTGTGCGTATATAATATACACATACACACGTGTGCGCAAGTTATCTCCATACACATACAGACACAAACTGAACAAACTGTCGCAGTGGGCTGTGATATGCTCAGACATTGCTCCCAGAGGAATCCAACATCCCTACACAAGGTGTGTCTACCTGTGGGACACAAACTGGACTTATGCCGAGCTGTAAGCTCATCCTTAGGGCCTTGAGTTGCTGCCTCTGTCGGCCTGTCCTTCCTTCCCTGGTTGCTCCTTGCTGCACTCCGCTGCCAGCTCCCCTCTTGAGTTAACAACCCCATCTCCAAGCCCACTCAGGTGAGTGCACCAGCGTGACCTGGCAAAATGTAAGGGTCAGCACACGGGGTCAGATCCCTGCCCTGAACAGTCTCAGCAGAGAAGGGATGGTCTCTTTGCCTTCCGGAGTGCTGATCTAGTGGGGGCCGAGTCACAGGTGTAATGCTTGGGCACAACCATTGTACGTAAAACATCTACAGCCTAGAAACTTTTGCTTTTCTGTTCTGCAGCAGTCTAGGATGAATGGACCTGTACAGAAAAAAATGTGTTTGGTGTAGAAATCACCTTTAAAGACTGCAGCACCTGATTAATTCCTACCAGACGGAATGTCCAGTACAGTGAATTCTGATTAACATTCAAGAGGGAAGTTTAATGCCTTAAGGTAGAAGGTTCATCAAAGAGCTGAGGAACGACATTTTTGTTAAACGCTGTGCTTTCATCAGCAGGAAGGGCACGGCTGCTTGCAATATGAAACTGAGAAAACCGGTCCTTGGACCTTTCTAAGCAGCAACTGCTGAATCCCAGCACTGCACTCAGACAGCTGAACAGGGTAAGTTATTGGCATTCATGTCTATTCCCTTCTAGATCTTACTTGTGTAGACTAAGCTCCTCAGGCAGCAATGGCCTCTATAGTGAGAGATCCTGAAGTGCTAATCTGGCACTGGCCACGAAAGATTTTGTGTAGCTTTACTAATTTCTACTGCAGCAAAACAAACAGAAGAGTAACAGCTGCGGCCTGCAGCTTCCCTAAGAAAGGAATGACAGACTGTAGCAATTTCAAAACTTTATAAAGGTCCAGTTATTCCCTGGGAGGAATTGCCTAGCCCTGGCAGAAATTTATCCAAAAATTATAGTCAACACCGCTTCTGCTTGCTCATCTTCCAGTGCAGAGAGAACTCTTCCTTTTAATCTGACAGCTACAGGTACTGTGAATCCCAAGGGCTCTATTGTGCAGTTAGTGCAAACTGGTCAGGAAAGAAGCATTTATTCTCCCTGTAGGTGAAGAGGGTAAAAACTGGTATTCTTGCTGCACTAACCTCCCTGTCCAGGAGTGTAACAGGGCTTAATGTTAGGCAGTGAAGATGCTCTGTCCTTGGAAAGATATGAACAGCAGTTGTGTCTCAACCAGTCTGGAGGCCACAGAAGGTATTTTTCTGGAGTGCCACTTGGAAACATGCTTCTAAAGCCCTGACCGTGTTTCACGTCAAATGCAAGATTGATGGAATTTCCATGGTGCTTCTCCACGCAAATTGTAGCGGTCCTTTATAATGACAGGATCAATCTGAGACATGGTCTTCACATACAAAGCAATAAAACGGAATAGTGACAAACAAAACAGCAAAGGTAAAACAGATTAAAAAGTCGCTCATGTAATCAGACATATGCTGCAGAGATGTCATGCATGTATCCTGACTATCCTTGTTATTGAACAGTAAACATATTTGAGCAGCATTTGCTTTAGTGATTCATGGTCCAAGAGGCCAGTGTGCTGAATTACTGACTTTATTGGGAACTTCCAAGAACTAGAAAAAATTAGCAAGTAAGAATATACTCCTATTTAAGAGGAGGTATTATCTGTTTCTTACTCCAGTTTGCCACATTTGGCTATGCCACTAGGAGTCTCAGCAGAGAGCCAAGGGACAGAATACCCACCAAACAGCACAGCAACTCACATCCACCAAGATACTTCAAGACTAGCTCACAAAATCACCAAAAATTTGAGAGCTTCCCTGTTCTTCTGTAAATTTGACATCTCCTTCTCATTCCTACCCTGGGAAACCTTCATATGTCAGGCTCGCTTTCCAAGTCTGTGAAAAGCTCATATAGTCAACATGATAGTCATACTCTAGCGAGAGGATTTCTCATGCTGGAGTTTATAACCCAACCCTTCTCATCCCTGCACTTGTACATGGGAAGGGAAGAAACAGATAAGAACAGATTGTACAGATTATTGTCCCTTAAATCAGTAACATTTAAACATTTTTAAGAAATCTTCATTTTTAAAAAAACTAAGCATGAAGAGTTCTACAATGTAAACAAGAGCGTATGTCATTGCCTAGTAAACCTAGGAAAGCGTTCATGTCTAATCAGAAGAAGTGGAAGTCCACAGCCTTATATTTTAAAGACAGTCTTGATATTAGTGTCTTTACTGTATTAAACTTTTGGTACTTAAATAATAATAATAATAATAATAATAGTAATATCTAGATAGCACAGACAAAGTATAGGATGATACATTAGCATAAAAGTGCAAGATGTAATTTAAGTCAAAGTGCCTACTCAAACTTCAAAGTGTCTACAGCTCAAACTGGTACAAACTATGCTCAGACATAAACCATAAACCAGACGAAGAGCAATCAAGGGCCTTTTCTTTTCCTCTCATTTCCATCAGAAATCATCACAGGTAACAACAATCCAGTCTGAAGTAACATCAATTCCAAATGGGTGTACATGAGAGAAAAGTCAAGCCCATGTCTTGATGGAAAAAAATGATTCTCATTTCCTCTTTGTAATGGCAATTAATCCACAGGCTTTGCTCCGAATATCTGAGCAGAGAGACAGAAAACAGTAACTTCGATGCCACAGTCAAGGGAGGCAGAGTCAGCAGCTCAACAGAAATGTAGCACTTAAAAGCAGGGGGTACAGTGAGCCCTTGTTAGCTCCTCTGGAGTCACATCCCCCCACGGATTGATTGATCCCAGCCATGAAAGATGACTATGAGGAGGTTAAGTAACACTGCTCTTCATTGGAAAAATAAAAAGATTATCCTCACAAGCTTAATTTTCCCCTTCCTGTTTGTCTTATTTTACTATTTCAGAGATAAAATATCTTTTACAGTATCAGCTCATTATTGTGTTCATTCCCTTTAAAGGCAAATGGAGTTTAAAAGATCTTGTCACCAGAAGGGGGTGGGATGGGAGCAGAGGCAGACCTTTTATTAAACCTTAAAAAGATTTCTAACTCATTTTGCAAGTGAAAACAACAAAAGCCATAAAACTAGCAAAGGAGAGCTGTCACTGAGATTAAGCAGATCCAAACTCCGTCATCCATTTTTCATACTTCTCCAGGTCTGCAGCAGAAACAGATTTGGAGATTTTCTTTAGAGCCAGCTCAAAGTCCCCCTTGGTAACCGGCATCTGAAGCTCCTCTTTAGAAAGCGCTCGAATCTCTTCTGGAGTTAAGCCGTTAATACGTCGTCTCATTGCCATTAAAGAGGCATCCCTGAAAATACAGGACAATGTATGGGAACTAATTGCTAGCAGCATGTGCTGTAAGCCTATGAATTTTGATTGTATTCTCTTGCTAGAAACCACTGGCAGGAACACTTAAGAGAGCATTTATTTACCAAAGAAGATGCAGTTCACATATTTCTTAGCTTCCACATTCCCAGATCACTACATTAATTCAACATAAAGAATGCATTTGCACCAAAATCCATTTAAGCATATGGTAAATGTGCAGAGATAATTAAAACTATAAAACTGAAAACCTTTTACAATGATTCATAGAGATGAAATTTTCCAACTTCAGTGCAGGAAAGGGCAGGGTGGGAGAGGAACTGCACTCAAATACTTTTTTTTTTTTTAAAGTAGTATGGATTTTGCACCCCCATCCTCCTAGATTTCAACCTTCTCTCCACCACGTAGCCCAAAAGGACAGTCAGCAAGCGTTCAGAGTGCAGCCCAGCTCTGTCGCCTACTTGCACATAGCACCTGAATCTGTAAAGGAAAGAGCAGGAGGCATCAGACACCAGCATCATGTGGCCCTGCAGGGCTGAGGCCATCAGTGCCTGTGGCTCCTCATGCTCTACCTGCTCCGTGACTCCTCCCCAGCTCGGATGCTACTAGCATGGCCCACTGGCACAGAGAACGCTGCTCATTTCTCACACCGTGGCCCAGATGCAGTCTGAAATTACATTTTTTCTTTCCCCAGGTTTTTCCCAGCAAGGGATAACACAAGCCTCAGGGAGAACAGGTAATTTAACTATTGCACTGCATGACACACACCAGGTTTTCAAAACCAGGGAGTCATTTTACAATTTCAGCAAAGCAGCAGGGAAAAAAAAAAAAATTAATTCCAAGCCATGTTCTTAAAGAATCAGTTTCTCTTGGCCAGGTTCCTAACGTTGTAAGGGACAGACTTCCTTCCAATAAGTTTTTTCAAATACCTATCCACCAGAAAAAATTCATTTGTCAAAAAATGAAACAAATTGTGGGAACAGGATGGAAATAAATTCAATAGTAATGCCATAAACTATCTGCATCACCCTTGCACCTACAGGGTTCAGGCAGAAACCAAGACAATGCTGCAGTGGGGGCTGTCCAAACATAGAGCATACAGAAGTCTCAAAGAAGTATCCTGTAAAAGGCTCATTTGCATCACAAAATTCTAGCTCTTATACTTGTGGGATTTAAAAAAAAAAAAAATAAAATCCAAACCTGTTTTGCACTGCATTAACAAATGCAGACAAATGCAACCAATGGTAACCTGAGATTTGCTCAGAGAATTTTTTTCTCTTCAGATCCAAGGGAAACTTAACCACATTTTACAGAAGGACTCCACAGTCTTTAGACTGCTCCACCTGACAGTAACACGCGGTTCCAGTAAATAGATTTGAGCCTCAGACATAGTCACTGTTAACACAGCTTCAGATGTAGTGTGTATTGCCTTTTATCACATAATGCAAATTATGACTTTCCATGCAGTTTTATTTGCAAATTAAGGGGAATAATATACCTGCAAACATTAGTGATGTCAGCACCAGAATAGCCTTCAATCTTCTCAGCAATTTCTTCCAGGCTGATATCAGGATCTAGTTCTACTTCCCGAAGATTAATCTTAAGTAGTTCTGCTCTGCCTTTTGCTACAACACAAAAATACTCTTTTGAAGACTTGCAGGAGTAACATTAAAAAAAAAGATACAAACACAACTTAGGTTTTTCAGTGAAAAGTACAAACAAAAGGGTTTAATATAAGAAAAGGAAAGAGACAACAAATCATAGTAAAGTGTGCAATCAAATACAGTAAAGCATATGGTTAAAACCAGTATATTAAAAGAGCATGCTCTAGAGACATTTTCCAAAGTCATACGTCATTAAAAATGTCTGTTATGTCTCAGGTGACAAAGCATTTGGTCACACACTACCCAAGGGGACAAAACCACAATCCTACAAATGTCTGCTTCTTCTCACATCCCTTTGGATTCACTCTCTGTTCAAGTGTTTGATTGCATATTATTCACACAGTTTCATTAGAACCACAATGAGGATTCTATTAACAGAGCACAAACCCCTTAACAATAGCCTGAACTTTAAGCATATGTTTAAGCACTGTACTCAGTTGGGACCCAAGAAAGCTGCTGAAGCCTGACAGAAAACAGATACATTAATACAGTAAACATATATTAATATATTTACTATACAAATGTCCTCGTATACCACTTTCAGACCTAGATGCAGTGTGCACACAGTGATAACCAGCTGTATAAATGAGCACTTATGCAGCCAATTAACCATTTTTTTTTGTAGAGGGCATGTGCATATGGGTACATATGTTAAACAGCCTAAGCTTGTAAGAGGGAATTTACATCTGGCAGCTTAGGCCTCAGTGTTATTCTGCACAACTGTGGTAAAGAAGAGGATGACTGCTTTCCTGGCTATTACTGCACAGAAAAATATACCAGCTCAGCATCTTTATTTCCACAGTGACCATTTTTTATGACCTAGAAAAGAGGACAACCACAACAGAAAAAGCAGGAGTAGTACAGGCTGAAAGTCTTAAAGAAATGTCCACACTTATTTTCTATTTATTGATGTCCCTATTTTTTTTATTTTTTTTTTAATTTTAGGGGGAGGGGAAATATAAAATAAATTAGAAAGCCTGTCTGAAGCTGCTGGTTTTGTGTGCTTTGCAGAACTGTCAATAATACAGAGTTATCAATCACACACAACTGGCACTAGTTATAAAATGGGGATTTATTATTTACAGAGCACAATGTATATATGGCATAGCTGCAGACAGCATACTGTATCTGAGAACATTCTTCTGATCTTTACTATGAGGCTAAGCAAATTCTTGCAGTATTTTGAAAATGAAACATGGTAGAATATATACTTGCATCAAATTCCACAACATACAGGTGTATATATGATATATCATATCACTTTTTCAATTAAAATGCCTGACCACATCAAATCACACAGCACAGTTATAAATGCATCATTTATACTTGCCCAGAATAGCTCAACATTCTTATTTACAGAACAAATGCAACAGAACACAAGACTGGAAATAAAACTGGAGCACATCTCGTATGTTGTCCAGCGTGTAATACACTGTGTCAAAAAACAACCTGGTTTAATTAGAAACAAGAGCAAAAGCTGATGGGATTTTAAACTAATTGGTCATAAAGACAGGCATCCTGTTACCGCCTGTAAGCTGCAAAGACAAGCTGTAGAGCTATTAAGCATCCTTATACCTGCTAAACTCAATCACAACTGCTGTCACCATGAACACGCATCTTGTTATCTTGAGTGCTCATGCAAGGAGATGAGGCATCCACTGTACCACAAAGAAACGAAGCTATGCAAACTTCAAGTGATAGGAATCTCAAAATTAATAGGACAGGTGAATGACAGCTAGGAAAGACAATACAAGCCGAGACGTCTTAGGGCAGGAAAGCAATCAGCCTGCTGCATTCCGAGTGACTCGAAGCACAGTCACAGAGGTGAGCAAGCAGTGATTTACAATGAACTAAGCCTGTAAGTGAAAATTCATGGATCCACTTCTTTGCAGTTGTCTGCAAGGGCACGGAGTGCATTTGCAATATTTCTGAACACGTCCAAAGGCTGCCTTTGATGATCGCTCAAGGATTGACTGTTAAACATTTAAAATAATTCCAGGTTCATTAAAACTAACTCTCTTTCAAAATGTAAGAACCCATCAATGGGCTTGCAATGAAATGCCTCAGCTCTTTGTTTTTAAGCCTCCAAGCAAGTAGTATTTTTTTCTTCTTTCACTCTCTTTAAAAATAAAACGACCCAGCCAAATGATTAACCCCTGAATTTCACTGCTCATCACAAAAACATCAAGATTCCTCCCAAACCCAACAGTAATCCTAATCTCATCCTGCAAAGGCCATTGTAAAGGAAAATGCTTGTAGCAAACATACCTGTGGGCAAAGGTATATAAATCCTCTTCTCCAGTCTCCGTCGCAGAGCTTCATCAATATCCCAGGGAAAATTTGTAGCAGCTAATACCATAACCATCTTGGAAGGGTCATCATTTTCCAGAGCACCACCTACCCCTGCCAGCACAACAGTTTAGAGCAATTTTACTTCACAGCTCTTATTGATTGAGATGCTTGCTAAGAAACACTGCACAAACACTGCAAAAGCCTGGACAAGGCTAAGCAACAGCTATATGTAGTCCTAGTGTCCCTTTCCAAACTTCCCATTTGGTGTGACAAGACCACTACTGTCACAGAGAAATGGACAGTTCCTTCTTTTGCTGAGTCAGGGGAGGGCTTTCTTTGACAGTGCTAATGACATAGGCACATGTGAGTGCAGCCCTACTAGTCCCACCAGAAGTGCTATCTCTGTCAAATCTAGCCATAGAAGAAACCTCGTGGCCTCACAAATGAGGCCTGCAAAGAAATTACCCCTTTGGGGCAAAAAGTTGCCTATCCTGAGTTTACCACAATGAACCTCCACATTTGAGGACATTATAAATAGCAGTTAAACAATAGCTGCAATACAGAGGTGGCTATTATACCACTACACCATGCAATATTCCTCAGATCATCATCCTCATTATGTGCACCTGCACAGAACAGATACCAAACCTGACTAAAAGGGTAGTATTAGCTGCCACCACAGAATACAGCAAAATCAGATTTCACAGTGGGGTCCCTAGGCTGGAGACTCTAGCAAAGTGGAGAAATTTGTTTAGATTGCACCAAAATTAAAGACCTGTATTAAATTGCACAAATCTTCACTATCTGCTTCTCCTAGAGTCTGTGTTTCTCTCTCAAATAGGAGTTTTCAATTTACCATCAAAATGGCCATTTTAGAAGCAGAACACCCTTTTCAGTTATCTGCCTTTGAACACTCCAAAAATACACTACTCTGAAGTGCTACCTTATCTCCCCTTTCCATAAAGCCCAGTTTTCCAGATTGCTCACGTTCTTACATTCCCACCTGTAAAGAAACAGCACCCCAGCCCCAAACTCGGATCTAAACACTTGTTACCATCCATTTGCACAAGCAGCTCTGACTTGACTCTGCGACTCGCCTCGTGTTCGTCAGATGTGCCTCTGCGGCTGCAGATGGAATCTATCTCGTCAATGAAGATTGTTGTTGGAGCATAAAACCTCGCCTTTATTCAAATGAAAACATCACTATTAAGGTTGCAGCAGCAAGCACAGGTCTCCATCAGACCACAACCCAGTCCCACTAGACATACTACAAATAGATCTTCCCTGTCACAAGAAAGTAGTTCAAGATCTTGATTTACAAACTGTCTCATGTATGCTGAAGTTTATACATTTTAAATCATACTCCTTGGGTCAGGGGTCTGTCAGTGTTGGTTTCTCAGCAACCGGTCTTGCAAGTGGAAAAGGAACACAACCAAAATACAGGCAGTTTTCATGTCCAGGCTTTTGTGCTGGTGGAGGACAGAAAGGAGCTCAGTCTACCTCAACAGAGACAGGTTTTAACTGAGAGTATTGTAAAAGTGCAGTGAGGATCCCAAAGAGGTGAATCACTGTTCAGTATAGGCCCACATGGGCATGTCCTTCATATACCACACATGATGGACCACACCCACAACTTTACTGAGAGACTTGTATCCATCCTTCAGAACAGAAACAGAACTAAAGCATGTATTGCTTCTACAATAACAGTTCCAAACACCTTCTAATTTCAAATCTACTTCCTATGAGCTTGTTATCCCATAACCAAATAAGAACTGAATTTCTGTCAAGGTCACAACTCTACATTTAGTTTGGAAAATGCTATCCTAAACATGGGTGATAAACCATTTCCTTCTTAATCTTCAACAACATATCAGAAAAGGATGGAAAAGCAGATTATGTTTTTCTAACCGGTTGAGGGGGTGTGTCAGTTCAATGAACTCTGTGCTTCCAACATGCTACTGGAGGGGCAGGAAACAAGTGATGTCCTTTCTCACCTTAGTGATCCCCAGATCATATTATCAAGGACATACCATTTCAAACAAGAGGCGGACCAGCTTCTCAGACTCGCCTCTGTATTTAGATGTCAGTGTAGAGGAAGACACATTGAAGAATGTTGTTCCACATTCTGTAGCAACAGCTTTTGCTAGCATTGTTTTGCCAGTGCCAGGAGGACCAACCATCAGCACACCCTGAAAGGTGAAAACAAACATAATGAGCAACAAATAAAGAAACTCTGCAACTGGTACTCTACGTTACATCTCAATATGAACCAAGATCTGTATTTAAATTGTTTAATAACATAATCATAACCTGTGGAAAACAAAAAACAAGAATCTTGCATTTGAGAACAGCACAGAAGTGTTCTGAGGTTTCTTCTTACCACTTCACTGAGTCCAAATCACAAAAGCCAGTAACTGCTGCTGCACCTATCACCTGGGAAGCAGACAACAGATTTACAGCCTTGCTCTGAATCAGACAGAACCTGGACTTGAACTTGGGCCTTTCCCAACTCACAAGGGGGTGCACAGGCAGTGGATTCTTCTTATCGGAAAAAAGGCCCCTTCACAAAGAGCTTCACAGGAACCAATATACTTTTGCAGAAAGTTGTGTTCCCTCAGTAGAACATTTTTCTGTAGAAAAACATTTTGCCAAAAAATCCTGACTATGGGTATGTATGAATCTGGTTGATTTTTACATTTAAGCATGCACAAGAGAATTCACTGAATACAACAGTTTGTCATACTGTTTAATCCCTCCATCTCAGTACGTCTATAGCCATACTACTGCATTTTAGCAATCCCCAGATGAAACACCATCCCCACTGCACTGTTGGATGGTAGGAAGGCACTTCTATTTCTATTTTACGGATAAGCAACTGTGTCTCATTTGGACTACCTCTGCATCCCACAAAAGCCTAATCTGAACCTCAGTGATTATTCAGAAAGCTTTACACTTGGAAACTGAACTTCATTTGTTAAGTCCCATGTTGGCATCCACGTCATCACTGTTCTTCCATCTGTGGCCTATCCAAAAGGGAGAGTAAGGAGCACACACCTCTGCAGCTCAGCACATTCACCCATTGTTACACAAACAGGTTTTTCACTGGACACACAGTGCTCTCAGGACTCACATTAAGCTTGTAGCACAAAGACTGGTTAATCACTCGATAATATTTCTAAATACAATTACCTTTATGGATAGTCTTTCCAACCCTTTCAACAGCAGTGCTAGGGAGGAACAACACACTGCTCCATGCCCATACAGCACTAGAATAAGGCACTGTGATTTTAAGCATGTCACTATGAAAATGTAGTGCTCAAGCAGCTTGGTTTTTTTTTCCTCCCAACTGCAAGATCTTATTACATGCTAACAAGAGTTTCCTGAAGTAAAGCTGTACTGTGTTGCAAGGGTAATCAAATTAGCTAGAATTAGAATTGCACATCATAATGTGCTTTGCAATTAATAACTTACATAAAATGCCATAGCAATAAAATATCTGTTAAATGCAAGCCACATAGCAAATTAGATTTCATCTGTTCCTCACAAAAATTTACTTCAAAAAGCACAAAGAATGACATGGAAGAGATCTATAAAAACAAATCAACCGGGAACACAATTATTCAAAAATGTACTATTCAAAAGCAATAGCCTCTCTGTACTCCATTTTCCATTAACTCTTAATACCTTTATTGCCATTTAACACTCAGCTAATGCAAGCTCAACATACATTCATTGGTAAATTGTTAGAAACGTTTACATACATCCATACAGCTAACAGTCCAAAGTCACTCCTCAGGCTGCCCAAGGTTTCCCAAGCTCCAGAGCAGCAAGCATAAAAAGTAAATGGGCTCTTTTTCTCCCCATGAGGATTCAGACATATACTGTGATTTGAGTTGCTGCATAGTGATACTGATATTATAATAATATTGCAAGTACAAGCCTGGAATGTCTGGGTAACAATTACTCAGCATGTGATATGCAGGTCAGAGATGACTTACTGTTCTCTCCAAGTTTTAAATGTGTTTATTTAATAGTTTAAAACAAGCTGCACCTCAGTTCAAACTATACGTGACCCCTGTGTTTGACAAATTGCGTTCACTGCAGGAGCTGGTGATAGAAATGACTAATGTAATTTTTTGGGTATTGCTTTGGTCCTCCATTATTATAGATGGTCAAATTCTGGCTTCAGTTGCACATGCTGCTCAGTGCTGAAACCGAAGCCCATTGCTTTGCACCTCCTGTGTAACTATTATAGTGAGCATTACCTTGCACGTAATACTGGTGGCACTGTATACATGCATAACACAGGTGCAAAGCAGCCACACCAGGTGTAAAGCCAGGGGAAAACCAAGCTCTCTGGGGATAAAGGCAATAGAAATATCAGTTAAAAAAACTCGAGTTCTCAGCAAAACAAGATGTGCATGGTTGCAAACAGAAACACATAGGATCACGTTGCTCTTTCTTTCTGCAAACTAGGAGGCTGCCACTTACTCACTAGTTAAAATCCTTGACAAACACAAAGACTTCTTTATTCTTCCTCTAAGGCTCTGTTAATCCAAAGTATTCCAATAAGAAGCTGAAATGCTCTGCAGGGAGTAAGTGTTTTGATGAAATCACTGCAGGGTTACTTCTTGTTGTTGTAACAATCACTAGCAGAGCAGTGGGAAGCACAGTGAGCAACTGGGCCTTCTTGGCACAAAACAGTTCAGAGAAAAAGAAAGAGCAAGCCTGGGGACACTCAGAAACCCGTGGTTGAAACTACACAGCACCTGTGTTGAATCAGGGAAGACAGCTGGCTCCTTCATACAAGGCACCGTCCTCTGAATGCAGGCACAAACTGTGAGGGCTGTCTTGGGAATTGTTCTCAGGAGAGTCTGAACATCCAAAAACAGATTTGGCTGCCTTTTCCCTGAATTATTGTCCTGAATGCCTAGGCTCAACAAATGCCTGCTGCTACCCTGATTACTGGAAGAAACAGTCTTCCCTTCGAAACTTCTCATCCTTGTAGCACAGTCAGAGGTCAACAGTAGGGAAAAAACATGCTGTTCTGTGTGAAAAATAAATTCAGCAGAGTTACAGCTTCACAAGTCACCAGGGAAAAGGCCAACAATGAACACTCTTTGTGGACTCGTCAGAAATCAATCTGCATTTCAGACTGAAGAGAGGAAATAATCTTAGATTTTTTTTTTCCATGTTTACAACCACCTGGTTTTCAAAGGGTACACTGCTCAATAGGAAAAGATAATCTCATGCAAAGAGATGGAGACTGCAGGCTGTTGTTTCTTTATCCACTACCACAATACTTGGGAGACAAGGCCAGTGTCACTCTTCACATTCCCTACAGTCTGCAGATACACCTGCCTTAAAAACAGATGGCCACTACATCCTCTAGGCATGTTAGCAAGTGAAAGCAAGCACAGCAGCTCTTCACTCCCTTAAAAGTTTTTGAAGACTGGACAGACAGGGCCCCCATAGTCTATCATAAGGGTATGGATCAACTTCCTCTATGCCAAGAAGAAAAGAGAGATTCAGCTGCTCAAGACACTAAAATCTCACCCTACCTTGTAACCCACAATATCTAGGCCCTATCCAAGCTGATAGCTTGGTTAACCTTAAGGTTAACCTCAAGGCCACTGGTACTGAACACAAGGTCTCTAAACCCCTAAGACCATATACCCTGGAGCTAGATTTGGGCTTCCCCCCATGCAACTCACTAAAACCTCCATGAAAAGCCCTTGAGCAGCAATCTCCCAGCTCACACCATCAGCTCCCACTCTTTCTGACTTCCCCTCTTTACTGTCTGAGATACAAGCCCCAAGAATGACAAGTCTGCTACTCATCAGTTCCTGGAGTGCTTTGTTTTGTAAATAAGCAGACTAACTGGGATCTAGGACTGGTTCAGGCTGGAGGAGGACAACTTTGAGAGTCAGACCTAAGTATAAGCCACAGAAGTGCAAGAATCAAGCAGTAGAAGACAGAACAACTGATAGTAACACAAGATCTAACATGCTGCTGAACCAGCATACTAAACCACAGAAACTACTTATGTACACAGCACTAGCTACACATGCCATTGCCTTGCAGACTCAGAATAACAGAAAATTTGCAAGTCTCTTTTCCCCAGTAATCCTTCTCAGTACCCAGAAAACCCTTGTGTTGTTACTAGTTATTCCAAAAACAAGTGTCAATCCATCCCAGAACAAAAGCAAGATAATTCTATTTTCTACTTACAGAAATGCTCAGCAATGCCCACCCTCCTCTTCCTTTTTAGCTCTGAGCAAGGTTGAGACTGGGTTCACCTCTGGTCCATCAGCAAGGCCATCTCAGTCACATAATCTTCCTGTTGCCCCACTTGCAGTTCATTCTCCCACTTTCAATTTCTCCCACTCCAGCAGTAACTATGCCCAGCCACAAGTGTAACTGCAAAGCTAAATCATCACTCAGATTAGCTCCCCCTCTCCTTGCCTCCTTGCACCATCCAGCCTGCAGTTTGCAGTCTGAGTGAGAGATAGTTGGCACATGCAGAATAAAACAGTCCAAGGGCTGTGCTGTTTTTCTCTGTGAAGTGTTGAAGAGTGGCCACCATAAACCTAAGCAGAGCTGTCTATTAAGCATTTCTGCTTCCCACAACATATCCTATATGCCTGTTCACATGTACAAGCTGACATATAGAAAATATTATCAAGTCAACAAGCTATGACTGAGTAAATACAAAAGAATTATTAGTTACTGTAAAGCCTGTGTACACTTCCAGCTGTTTCTTTCAGTGCATTTTATATGAATCATTGTGAGAGGTTTTCACGAACAAATTCCTGATCTTTCCCATTTGCCTTTTTAGCCTCCTGCTACAGGCATCCACACACATTACAGCAGTAGGTAACTACACATACACTACATAAAATACACACACACATAACTACAGCTTGCCATTTACTAAAACACCAAATAAATTCCCACCTTCCAAGGTCTTCTGATCCCTTTGAAAAAATCAGGCATCCACATAGGAAGAACAACAGCTTCTCTTAATAATTTCTTGGCTTCTTCCAAATCCGCTATGTCATCCCTGTGCAAGATGAAGAAACTTGTATAAGATTCCTGTACAACAATTTCTTCCATTTTTTATAAAAGAAAAACAGAAAAGCTTTTCACTTAGTACCATGTCTTTCAGCATGCCAGTATATGCCTCCTGAGAGCACTTCTATAATCCTGTGACCTAAAATTACATCCACTTTTGGAAGGTAGGGAAAAAATAACTTTCAACTCAAGCTACTCAGAGCTGCTTAATTAAAAATTGTTTTGGACAATGTGAACACCAAAGTGGTATCTTTAAAGTTCTCTGGAGCATACTTTCATTTCAGCAGTACCTGTTATGTTTGTACTGCACATAATATCAGTTAGCAACAAAAGCTTAACGGTAATCGTATTAATAAACTGTTAAAACCAAAAGACCTTGTTTTGCTTATCTGTAGGAGATTATGATGGCTCCCTGTTTTAAGAGTCAGAAGAAGGATAATTTCTCTCCTTCTCCACACTAGCAAAAACACGAACTGAAAAAATCCTCATACCAATGAATGCTTGGATTCCTTGATACAATGTCCCTTTCAAGAGCTTCGACCAAGTCTTTGTCATAACCTGCTGCATCAAATTTTGGAATTTCCCCATCACCAACTTCCTGGGATATTTTCTTTCCCTAGAAGTGAAAGTCATACAGGCTCATAAGGACATTATTCTTTCAACATAGCCTTTACTAGCAATATATAGCAATAATGTCTGGTTCACATCAGTAGAAGCCACAAGAAGGTATCAAACTTCAACACAGCTATCTCAGCACCACAATGTCGAGCAAAACTAACATGTTTACACTCTCCGGTCCACAAAGATTGCCCCAACACCTGTGATTGCTTCCACCACAACATCACCATGCTTCATAGATGCAGCTCACCATGACAAAACCCCATCAGATCTCATTACATATTACGGTGGGTGGGTGGGTTGGTTGGTTTTAAAGCAGCAAACCAGAGCTGAACCACTCTTCAGACAACTGACACACTTCCTGGCCAGCTGAAGGCACTAATGCAGAAAGAGCCTCACAAAGCAGACTGCGTCATGTAATGCTACATTAACTCCAGGCTGAAGACCAGAGCGTCCAAAGCATATTTTGAAGATGCTACACCTGCCACACTACCTACTGGAGCTAAACAACTGGCACCCCATCATCACCGAAAAGAAACACAAAGCTGTTACACCCATTCTCTTTAATGGAGAAAAACCAAGAAGATTCTCTCCCCTTCTTTAATTAAAGCCTTCCTGCCCAGCAATTACTCCTTTCCTCGACTGCAAACTATTTATTTCCCTCCTCTCATTCAAAGGTCAGCTCCATAAACAGTTAAAATGCTTTTTAAAAGTCGTGTTTATTTAAGGGCCACACCAAAAGCCCTAAAGAAGCTCCCCAGCCACCTAGGCCTCTTTGAACTACGGTAATTTCTGCAGCACGCTAATGCTCATTTGGCGACCAAGCCACATGCTACTTCTGCCCCAGAGGGCCCAGAGTTTCTGGTTAGTACTTCCACAGCGCCGTTAAGTTTATGGGGGTGAAGTAACGTATTCCCTTTTGAAGCATCAGGGCTCACACTCCTCCTCTCCCACTTCAGAAGGAAACCGCTTCCCCTCCCAGCTCAACAGCAACGTTTGGCCCTGCCTGAAAAGCAGCTGCGCTGTTTTAAGGAAGGAAGCTGACTAGGGAGCTACTTTAGGCCTCTTAACTCAGCTTCTAAACACTATCAGCAGCAAGTTAAAGAATCCCAGCTGGCTGGACAAAAGCAGCCTAGGCAAAGGCGGGCTGAGAGGCAGCTGGAGACACACAAATAACCTCACTGTGGAAAAAGAAAAGGTAGCGATTACACCCCTCCCAGTTGCTGTTTGCCCATGAGGCGGGTGAGGGAGCAGTTTATCTTGCACTATTTTTATTTCTTGCTTCCAAGTGAACTCTGTGTTGTTTAGTATTCCCAGATCAGTTTTTTGCAATGGAAATGAAGCTGAAAGTTGTGTTTAGATAAAGAGCTAGTGTCAAAAATGTAATAGTGTCAAAAATGTAATGGTCTGGCGTAAAAAGGAAATGGAGAAAAAAAAGCCCTGTAGAGCTTGGAAGATTTCAGGAGAGAGAGAAAATGGAATCCAAATGTAACCGTTAAAAAAGGGGGGGAAAATGACAATGAAGTGAAAAATATTTGCTGTCATTGTTACACACTTCTATCCCTCTGCAATTGACTGGTTTTCCTAGTGGAAGCCTTTTCCTGCACATCTGAAAACAAACCGGATGTTTTGGGCCTTTTCTGGGTGAAATTGAGTTAAAGCAGGCTTTAAAAAGCAGGAGAAGGCAGGGCGGATGGCTGCAGCCCACTGTGGAGGAGGCTGAACCAGCGGCTCCAGCCCCCGTACGCAGCCC